TTGATACATTATATAATTAAACAAAGTTCATTTTCTCATCAAATATTTGAAATATCCGTGCATGCTTTACTTTTCTATGTGAAGTACAATATTTTGACATCTATTTGAATAACAGTTTTTTTTAAACTAATGCTTTAGGTCAAATCTGAAGGCGACGATTGTGATGATGATCAAATATAATGCATGTTAATTTCCCACCACTGGTTTTTCTGTGAAGCGCGTTTTCTGCGTTTATTTCCAGGTTTGTGTGCATTTCTTGCGTGCAGCTCTATTGCATTAAATAGTTTCCACTGAATGAGGAGCAATGATTCAGCTCGACGGCGACAGTGCAGTATTATTATCTCGCCCTAAACATCGACGACATATTTCAGACGGCACAGTAGCTATCGCATATTAAAACACTTTTCTTTAATGTGTTTTAAAGGCAGTTTCTCAAAATGGCGGAGCAGGAATTATATTCACTATATAACTGAAAGACACAGGCCTGGCGAATCGCGGCAGTATTGCTGATCAATGACATTTAAAGTGCAGGATTGAGCCGACCGCGCGAGACGGGTTCTGTTTGGCACGAGCGGTTCCTGCCGTCTCCGGCACTGCTGCTCTGCATTATTCCACACACACAGAGAAAGCTATGCTTTATTCCTGCCATCAGCCGCACATGCACACTTTGCTCCTGTCTATCGACTGCGTCTGTTCTGAGTGTCATGCATTCGCGTTATTCTTGATTGCATACTCTCTTCCTGCTGCTCGTATTATTGATGACACGTCCAGGCGTTTTCTACTTTAAATCTAACTTTCATTCTTATTCCTAAGCATTACACCTCCCGTGAAAGTCTGAGACGGCGCATAAAGGTTTATCAAAGAGTATGAAATGCTACACGAGCAGTTTATTCTAGCGTGCGATTGTTTTAATTAGTCTGTTTCTTACCCAAATTCTCCCACGAGTACTGAGCAATTGGCCAGGCGGCTCCAGTGCGCATGCGCACAGCCGTGGCGCTTCACACTCGCCCATCCTGACAATATCGAAAGTTTTGCGCTGAAACAATTGCGACGGATCTCGACGCTGTCGCTGACGCTCCCCGCGCCGCCCGCGGCTCTCCTAACGCGCGGAGCATCGCCATTGCTGTTGTGTTGCTAAAAATACATTCCTGCGTGCGACCCATGCTCGCCAAATGTACAGAAGCGTCTCAGTAAATACAAACGAGCGAACTCTCGAGTTCTGACGGTGGTTTTACTGGAGAAATGTGACGCAAACAAACGCTGTGAAGGCTAACAGCACGAGCCTATCTGTGCAAACGACAAAATAACCCTGAACCGTACAGAAATGGTCGGATTTGCGCAGCGCAACACTGTATCATGCAGCAGGCTACCGCTACATAATAACACACTGGACAACACTAGATACTATTCAACTAAAACGCACTGAATTATAGCCTACTATACTAAGTTCAGGCTTAGAGCGCGTGGGTTTCTGTGAGCCTTCGTCTCTTGAAAGCCTGTTTAGCTGTTCAGTGCACTTTGCTTGTGTAAATGAATGCACCTCGTAGACCTAAACACAGACATTCATCTGATTTCTTTGGATAAAACACTAAATGACAAACAAGCATAAAACATGGCATTTGGTTAGCCAACCAAGCAGTCTAGAGCTGTATTTATGCATTTTTTTTATTATGCGATTTGTGCCACAGTTTGGAGTTGCATGCCTGCAGCCGGTGGTTTTGGTTATAGTTTTAATTTGGCCACTTGCAAGGACTCGGCGTCATGCTATAACATAAAGAATTCATGTTGCAAATTGAGTTTAAAAGCCAAAGAGATTTTCAAGGCAGAGGCGAGCCCTTAATATACGTTTCTGCAGTACCAAGTCCTCGTATCAGGTTCAGCGCCGGACCTGTCTGCAGTTAGTGTAGCTCTGCATATTAGTTTGAAGCCGGTCAACTGATCTTATTTTAGCTGTGTCTCTTATCACTTCAGATGTCTGTTCTATTCGACCGTGAGTGCCCTGCGAAGTGAACATCACAGGATATCAGCCGTGACTCCAGTTTGAAGGGAGTGCATGTTCATTCAAAGGGCAATTTCAACACAAGCATGTTTATTTTAGTTTAAAAATAAAAAAGTATCCAAGAGATGCTTCCTATCAGGAATGACCCGCATGTGATTTCAAACAAGTGCGGGCCTGAGTCGTGTGCATGGTCTTACCCGTGTGTTGCAGTTGGTGCACAGTGTTAATCTGAAATCTGCACCATTTCTAAAATGTTAGAAGTGCTATAGAACAGAAACCAATCTTGATGTGGCTAATGTGAGGTATTCTAGCACAGCCTTACTTAACCAGGAGTATTTTTAGTGTGTGTGGGTAATTAGTTAGTGTAGCCCGGGCCTGGAGGTGGGCTTTGTCCTGCCCAGATTTACAGAAGCGTTGCTAATCTTATTAAGAGCAGCCATGACAGATGCACTGATTCAGTCTTATGCTACCTGCGAGAGCGCCCATCAAAGTATCGCTGGCCATTCATGTTGTTGGACTACTGCTGCCGGTGCTGTGGGACCACGCTGATCAAACGCCATGGCCAACAACTGCCCCTCAACAGCAAGCTCCATGACACCTGGGTAAAGTCTGACTATCTCTGGTGCAGCAGATCTGATCCTGAAGGATCCACTGTGTCCCTGTAGCAGTAGCTATGTTTCTATAGGCCTTGCTTTCAGTGAATTGTAATGCAAGACTGAAGCTTTTCTGTGAAGGAGTGACTAAATAACCGAAACCATGTGCAGGAATAACTCAGGCCTCTATGCCGATAGAACACGTTTGATTAATAATACTAACACTACTAGAACTAGAGATGTTTCCCAGAAGCACTGAGCGTGGCTGTGTTGTGTGCTTGTCGTCAGGCTGTTCTTCAGAACCTGTTGATGTGTATGCTGTGCTTCTACTCTCTCTACTATATTGTGGTCAGTCTCTGCATCGGCATTCTCAGGTGAGATTCTCCACGTTGAGCAGCATAACTTCCTCTCTCTCTCTCTCTCTCTCTCTCTCTCTCTCTGTCTGTGTTTCTGTGTGCGTCTGCCTCTTATGGGGTGACATGTCTATACTGACTGCCTGTAGTACAGAAAGAAAATAGTCTATGGCAGTATTTCTCAGCACGTGTAATATTAGTAATATCTTTATATGCATTCACAAAATGATCAGTTCTCCTGTTCAACCCAAGAACAGTTTATCATGTTATTGATTAGAATATTGTTGGGCCTATGCAGGGTTTTTTTTTCTTTGAATGTACGAGCAACGATTTTGGAAACTGTGTTGGGTTCAGTGTTATTTTAGCATAACTGAGAGGCTGTTAAATATATATATATATATATAGATACGAGTCAAATCCAATACGCAACGCAAACTGATCTCGCTCTGCTACAGTGAATATCATGCTTATGCTAAATTTGTGTAGATGGCAAAATTTAGGATCCAGATTTTTCATTATACATCAAGTAGTAACCCAACCAGGGTTATTATAGTTCAATAAAACTAAAACTGAAACTAAAACCATTAAAAAAAAATTCATTATAAAATAAATAAATAAAATAAACGTTAACTGAAACCAAATATAAAATATTTTTATTTCAGCTACTTTCCAAAGCAATATTTCTTGCTTTAATTTAATTTAAATGTACTACAATAACTAAAACTGAAATAAAAATAAATAAAAACTATATAGACATATTTATAAAAAATACTAAAAATGACAAAAACACAACAAAATTACTAAAACTTTAACTAAAATTAAAATTAACTAAAATTATAAAAATAAAAACAGTTTCAAAACAAAGTTATATATATATGTATATATGTATAGACACATGCACTGTTATTTTAGCATAACTGAGAGTACATATATATATATATAACATTATTAATTTAAATTTTAGTTAAAGTTTTAGTAATTTTGTTGTGTTTTTATCATTTTTAATATTTTTCTTAATAGATATGTCTATAGTTTTAGTAATTTTTATTTCAGTTTTAGTTATTGTAGTACATTTAAATTACGTTAAATTAAGTTAAGAAATATTGCTTTGGAAAGTAGCTGAAATAAAAATATTTTATATTTGATTTCAGTTAATGTTTATTTTATAATGAATTTTTTTTGAATGGTTTTAGTTTCAGTTTTAGTTTTATTGAACTATAATAACCCTGGTTGGGTTACTACTTGATGTATAATGAAAAATCTGGATCCTAAATTTTGCCATCTACACAAATTTAGCATAAGCATGATATTCACTGAAGTAGAGCGGGATCAGTTTGCGTTGCGTATTGGATTTAACTCTAATTCACCATGCGTTTTTCAACCTGATCTCATAAGAAAATGCAACTGTTTTATGAGGTATGAATTCGTGCAATGTGATTTGTACAAAAAAAGTAAGCATGAAGCTCCACCCCTGAACCTAACTGTTAGTGCGGCTTAAGAAAATCGTATGAAAACATACGAATGGGATTAAATTAATTTATTCAAATTAGCCACAATTGTTTTTTTTTATCTTCAATAAACTTTATTGCAATTATAAAGACGATTAACATGATAGCAGCATCACATTCTTGATTTGAAGAACTAAAAGCAGAAATAGTTCAAGCTGTGTGAGTGTGTATTTGTTGTTTGTTTGCTGATATCAGGGTGGAGGAGGTGGACAGCTTGTTAGCGCCTTTTGACTACACCACTCAACCATCATGGCAAAGTCCCAAATATTTAGGTAGGCTGGCTTCAATACTCTGTGTTGTGTAAAGCTGCATTCACCTAAATACCGGCTCAAGATTTTCACTTATAGTGGTACAAACTTTGGATTATGTATTCTTATCACAACATTGCTATGGTCTGCAGTTATGGGCTGATTATAGGCTGATGCTGATTGTTGATATCAAGAGAGCATGAGATATATATATATATATATATATATATATATGTATATGTGTGACTCTGGAGCACAAAAGCAGTGTTAAGTCGCTGGGGGATATTTGTAGCAATAGCCAACAATACATTGTATGGGTCACAATTATACATTTCTCTTTTATACCAAAAATCATTAGGATATTAAGTAAAGATCATGTTCCATGAAGATATTTTGTACATTTCCTACTGTAAATATATCAAAACTTAATTTTTGATTAGTAATATGCATTGCTAAGAACTTCATTTGAACAACTTTAAAGATGATTTTCTCAATATTTTGATTTTTTTGCTCCCTCAGATTCCAGATTTTCAAATATTGTCCTATCCTAACAAACCATACATCAATGGAAATATTATTTAAACCGCTTTCAGATGATGCATAAATGTCAAATTAGAAAAATTGACCCTTATGACTGGTTTTGTGCGCCAGGGTCTCACACACACACACACACACACACACACACACACACATACATACACACATATATATATATTTATATAGTGTATATATATGGTAAAGCACACATGTTGGTGAAAGAGGGTAACACTTCAGCAATGCTTGATGATCTCAGAGAACATACTGACTGTGCAGTGCAATGATTAGAGAAGTTTTGATGCTACTAATCACACGTGTGTTGTGCAGTGAGTGTGATCTCCACAGAGGTGACGTATGTTCTGGGCGGCCTGATATTCGCGTGGATCGTGGAGGAGTGGGTGTGGGACTACGCTATCACTGTCACACTGCTGCACGTCGCTCTGACCGTAGCAGGTGGGAACATCTACATACAAGGGGAAGACTTGACATTAAACACATTTGGTCAAATCAGCTTGATCAGTTATCCATCTCTCATCCCAGAGTTTGTGAAAGACAAGCAAAAATCATATTTACCCTAGTGAAAAAAAAATATGCTATTTGAAATGCATTTATTTTGTGCTAAGTATACTAAAGATGCATTTATGTGCTTATTAAAAATACCCTGCGGTTGTACTTTTGGTATACTAAACTCGTATACTTAAAGTCTGCTAAATTGGAACAACTAATTTTGTACTTGATGCACTTTAATTGTGCGGAAGTAGCACTAAAGATATACTGAAGTTTATTTGATTTTGCTAAAGTGGAACTAGTGCAAGTACACTTTAAATGTCTTGCATTTAAAGACTGATATTATACAGAGAGCATACAATCCTCATCAATAGTGACGTTAAAACACATTTTAGGCATAATGTTAAGAAATGTGCAATAAAGAAATACTCCAATTATAATTTTATATCAGTAATTCTTAAGTGATATGTCAATAAATGTTAATGGATTTGAAGTATACATAGTATGAAATGAATGTATAAAAAAATCAATTGTGGCATATGTTTTTTTTTTTTTTACTAGGGTACAGAAATGTCCTTGCAATGGACGACTGTGGGCCAATAAATCTTACTTATAATACAGTTGCATATAATGATGCGAGTTATTATGAGCCATAAAGTGTTTAGCCTCTTCTATATGGATGGACTTCTGGTAATTCATTACCAATGTAATGGCCTTCATGCTCCTTTCTGGTGTCCTTGTGGTGTGTATCATCCAAGTTACCATGTTTACTGGCTTTACTTGGTCACGATAGTCACAGCTGTCATAACCGACACAGTCAGCCAATGAAGGCTCAGGTGTGTTGAACTCCAAGAAATAGTTGAATTCACAAAGAAGCAAAAGTCACCGTTTTCTCTTGTGGTTCCTTTGACATTAAAAATGTTTCTCTTTGGATTAAGAGTGAACAATCCCTGAACATATGAGATCAGTATGATAGATAAACGTGATGTAGTACTGTCATAAGTACATCAGAGCATTGAGAGCCACAGACTCTATTGAATAACATCCATTAGTGGAAAACATCTTCACCCACACAACACTGCTGACAGCCTCAGGCTACTGCAAAACATCAGCCGGTTTGTTTCACTTCCGGCTCCTTTTGTGAACCGAGTTTACCCATACTGGGGCGTTTGAATGAATTAGATTAGTGAATGCACAGAATTATGCAAGTTGCAGTTCCGGAAAATGACATAATGCTTAGTAAGTACGTAAGTTTAACGAGAGGGTTGCTCACCAACAAGGCCGATATAATGAATCGTGCCACTGACCCGTTCTTAAATTCTGTAAAAAGCTGGAAGTATTAGGTTCATGTTGTTGTGAGTCTGCAGTCAGGCGACACTCTTCACCAAAGCACACTTACTGCGAGTAGAAAACGTGAGGCGCTAAAGAACAGTGCGACGCTATATCTGAATAACAATTAAAACATACAGCACTGTAAATGGAAAACAAGGTGGACTTGATTAAATGGATTGCTGAGCTGTGATTGTCATAACAGGCAAAAATGTCAATAAAAATACATTGGCTTCTACAGACATTTATTTGTCTATTCAGTGCATTCAGTTGCATGGCATAATAATGTAGGCAAATGTCTTTGAATGATCGATAGATGATTGATAGATGTGATTCATTGGGTCATTTATTATATCTACTTCATTTAATCTATTGACAGTCCTAGATATTGTCATTGCATGTACTTACAGTATTTGCATTGATGATATGCATGTGTTTGTGATGAATGTTTTGTAAAATTGTATATTTGAAAGTACAGGAGGGCTGCTTTTGAACCTGTTTTCACTGTGACTCTGGTTTCAGTTATGGCTGATTTTCCCTCGACAGAGCACTGGTGGATTGCTCTCGGTAAGTTCTCTCTTTTGGATAAGCTTTCAGTTTTGGCAGCGAAACAGACATAATTTTAGCCTCTTTCATATAGTTTAGCATCACAGAATACACAGGAAACAAATAATTCCCAACAATAGAGAATATGAAGCTGATGTCACGCCGGATAGCAGCTCTTTTAATAATGTCACTGATTAAACTATCACTAAATAAAATAGTAGTAATGAACGGAATTCTGCAAAACTACACTGAAATCGTCAAATTATCATGCAGTGCAATAAAATAGCATCTCTTCCTTGCAGATGATACTATGAAGAATGTGAATATTTAATTTTCAAGGCAAAAACAAAAAAGGCAAGCAGGTATCTGTGTTAATTCCAGTATCATTAGCGGCATGCAACGCGGCGGGACGTAGCTTCACATTCTCTGTTCACTGCGGAGTCTGTCCTCTTTTCACCATAAAAGGTTATGGGTCAAGTTGATGTCACATATCAATGGCAGTTATGATAGCATGTGAATGCACCACTAGTGCCGCTCAGTTGTCTGTGGTTGAATTGCTTATAAGTCTGGGGTGTCCAAACCCGTTCCTGGAAGGCCTCTGTCCTGCAGAGATTAGCTCCAACCCCAATTAAACGCAAAACACAAAAAATTCCAAGATATTCGTAAAAATGTTCCTAAGTGCAATTCTTGAAAAATTCTCAAGTTCTCATATATGTTCTTAAGAACAACTTGTAGAAAATGGCATCTTTATCTGATTAAATAATGAAAAACGCTTCAAGGCATATCTTTTTGCGCTGCCTGCAGATTACCGTAATAATCATAAGCAGCGCACACACTGTTTTCGTTTTCGTCTCAGCTGCTTGTTTTTAATGCGCCATGGTTACTTTTAAAGAGCTCGTCTCAGGATGCACTGATCTAGGCAATCAAGATGGGCACATTCATACGCGCTGAATACTGCCAAAGATTATGTCGTATTTATAGGCTAAAACTAAAAAGAGTCTCCCTATCGGACTTGATTTTTTTGTCGAGTTGTTGCTGATTTTCGAATTCAGCATGAAGTAGTGTCACACAAAATCATGACAGATCACTGTTTACATTGCCAGTCACTGGTTTGTGTCACTTCAGAAAACCTGTGCACAGTCTAATGTTATATTGCAATACTTAATTACGACAATTAATTTGAAATAACCCAATAGATTTCTACTAAATCTGCCTTACCTTTGACAAGACAAGTCTGAGGCTATCTTAACTTTAAGAAGTTATTTATGATGATTTTTAAGAAGATTTAAGAGCTAAACTCTGCAGGATACTGGCCCTCCAGGAGCAGGATTGGACACCCCTGTTAAAGGGTTAGTTCACCCCAAAATGAAAATTAGGCTGCGTTTTACTCACCCCCGAGGCATCCTAGGTGTATATGACTTACTTCTTTCAGACGAATCCAGTCGGAGTTATATTAAAAATGGTCTTTGATCTTTCAAGCTGTTTAATGCAGCTCAGCGGGTGTTGCATGCATCAGTCCGAAAGAACTTTAAGATTATTACGTTTTGAATATGGATATTTTTCTTACAATAACGCATCGATTCGCTACAGGAGGCATTTGTTCACCCCCGGAGCCGTGTGAGACACTTTTTTATGGATGGGCACTTTTTATTTAACTTCTTTTGGACTGATGCATGCAACACCCGCTGAGCTGCATTAAACAGCTTGAAAGATCAAAGACCATTTTTAATATAACTCCGACTGGATTCGTCTGAAAGAAGAAAGTCATATACACCTAGGATTCCTCGGGGGTGAGTAAAACGCAGCCTAATTTAAATTTTTGGGTGAAGTAACCCTTTAAAGGTCAAAGTTCAATGGACACGCGACCTAGGTATATAAGCCCTGTTGACATAACCAGGCAGCATATCCTGGTTACTAGCTCCTGCTCAGGACCAGCTTAAACCAGCTCATAACCAGATAAGGTCCAGCTTAAACCAGCAGCCATGCTTCAAAACATACCTAACCAGGATATGCTGTTTTTTTCAACAGGGCCTTTTCTGATCATTTTTGTCACTAATTTAGACTGATTTTTTTAAATCAGTGCAATAAAATGAAATCAGGGCACTCATCTGATGCTGAACATATGCTCAGTGCATCACAATCTGTAATGAAATGCTGACGGTACGCGTGTCTCGTCTCCTGCAGGCTCTGGGTTGTTGATGATGATCTTTGGCGGGCAGCTCCTGGCTTACAGACTCTTCAGAAGTAATTCTGTGCATCCTGCAGACCTTCAGAATTTCTGACACGCGGTGGAACACGTACAGGGATGAATTTTCTCAGTTTTATATTTCTTTTTTTACATCATAGGTAGTTTGAAATGGTTTTGTTATTCCTAAACAATATTTTGTTGTGAAACTCTCTGCTCATGCTGATAAAATAATTCCAGTAAATCATGTTATTTTGCTGACCTTTTGTGACGTCCTATGGTGAAATTTTGACTCGGATGCAAATATGATTGTCTGTGATTACATGCAAATTTACATTTAGTCGGGGAAGTCGTGGCCATATACATGGTTAGAGAGTCGGACTCGTAATCCAAAGGCTGTGGGTTTGAGTCTCGTACCGGCAGGGATTGTAGGGGGGGGGAGGGAATGTACAGCGCTCTCTCCCACCTTCATTTTCTCAGTTTTATATTTCTTTTTTTACATCATAGGTAGTTTGAAATGGTTTTGTTATTCCTAAACAATATTTTGTTGTGAAACTCTCTGCTCATGCTGATAAAATAATTCCAGTAAATCATGTTATTTTGCTGACCTTTTGTGACGTCCTATGGTGAAATTTTGACTCGGATGCAAATATGATTGTCTGTGATTACATGCAAATTTACATTTACATTCAGCAATGCCTTATTTGTCAAATTATTCGGATTACACGCTTTTTTTCCTCATGTGTTTGGTGCACTCTGTTATGATTTTGGCCATATGAGACAAATTTTGTGAATCTTAAAAGATCCTCCTATCATAGGCCAAAATCTGTAGTGTTTGCTTGCTAGTGTGACATGTTTGCCGACAGCTGATTAATGACCATTGCAATTGCATTTTACCTTATGAGGCGCAGTCCTGTAGTGTAGCTTCATTTACGACGACTGTCACATCAAGAAGAGTCTTGTCTGTCGTACGGTCTGACATTACTGACAGCTGAGATCCCACAGTGTGACACGGCTAAAAGCTGGGATCACGTTCGTCATAAATGGCTGCCCACTGCTCCGGGTGTGTGTTCACTGCTGTGTGTGTGTGTGCACTTTGGATGGGATAAATGCAGAGCACAAATTCCGAGTATGGGTCACCATACTTGGTCACATGTCACGTCACTGTCACGTCACTTTACATTCAGCAATGCCTTATTTGTCAAATTATTCGGATTAGACACTTTTTTTTCCGCATGTGTTTGGTGCACTCTGTTATGATTTTGGCCATATGAGACAAATTTTGTGAATCTTAAAAGATCCTCCTATCATAGGCCAAAATCTGTAGTGTTTGCTTGCTAGTGTGACATGTTTGCCGACAGCTGATTAATGACCATTGCAATTGCATTTTACCTTATGAGGCGCAGTCCTGTAGTGTAGCTTCATTTACGACGACTGTCACATCAAGAAGAGTCTTGTCTGTCGTACGGTCTGACATTACTGACAGCTGAGATCCCACAGTGTGACACGGCTAAAAGCTGGGATCACGTTCGTACAGTCTTGGGTAGTAACATGTAAGATTGCATGTAATCTGGGTTACGTAATCAGATTCCAAAAATTAAGCTCTTGCAATTAGATTATATTACATTCTAAAATGCTCATAAATCAGGTTACAGTTACTTGTTTATGGATTACGTGATTACATATTATTCACACAATGGCAGTAAGTTTTTCATAATTTATTGATTCTCTTTTAATTTTTCCTTTCTAAAAATCCTACTGTCTTTTATACCGTTTAGCACTGAATATATTCACAGTATAGAATGCATGTAAATAACCTTGTGATCCATGCAGTGAAAAACATGATGTATGAAGCAAATAATTATGAATTGCATTATTGATTATGAATGGTAAGTTTAAAAGACGTTAGGTAAAAGGTAACCTAAAAAACTAATCTCAAAAGTAGGCTACCTAAAATGAATAACCTAAATTATGTTATTACAGTTTTTTAATCAGCAATTGATTACAATCTGTAAGTAATCTACCCAGCTCTGCTGACTAGCAACAATCATAAAGCACTAATATAAACCTTTATTTTTAAAATTGTTGTAATATTGTTGTGTTCCATAAAACCGAACCCTAACATCATTTTGACCCTTTCTACAGCATGACAGTTAAAAATCTAAATATTTTCTCTATTATATTATTTTGCCAAATCATAGTGTTGACTGTGTTCCTCAGTCTCAACCATCAACCCCGTTACCAAATGAAGAAAAATTATCAAACAAATAATTAGCCATGATTTGTGGCAAATATTAGTTTATCAATAACTACAAACATTTGCAGTGATAGCTTCATTCATTCAAAGATTAGCTGCAAGCATTATCTTTTATTGGACCTGTAGCTGTTATCTTTAGGTACATCTTTTAGAGTAAATCTCAGAAACAATGCCTGAGACATACTTCATTTCAAAGTTATTTTCACGAGACAAGAATAATGACACATTATAACTGTCACAGTGCAAAACATCGACGGGCAATGAACCCGTATCGTTTCTCTCTTGATTTTGTGCTGAAATGTGACCTGGGCGTGTTTTAGAAGAGGAACTATAGATGCAGTGCAGTTATAATCCTGAACAGCTGCGGTCCTCTAATCGGTTTGGATTAAGTGCATCAAGTATTATTACCAATTCCTCAGGAACACGCCACCGTCGCACGCTAGATCGGTTGAAAGCGTGTCCATTTTCTGGTTGATTCGTGTGTGCATGTATAAACACATGAGCAGCTCTTTCAGATACAGGGCTTCTGATATGCTTAATACATTTAAGCAGTCATAAAATGACAGATTCAGCACAAACATGACAATAAGTGCATAAGCACAGCAGTCCTGCGTCAGGTTTTCCCGGAGGCGTCCTGTGTCTCCGGGTTCTCTCCTGGTGTCAAAATTTCATGAATGATTTAATGAGATGATGCACAGGAGGAGAGGAGCGTGTTGTGCAGTGAGGGATGCACTGCTGTGGATGCAGGGCTCAAACGCGCCTCTGACCCGGGCCGAGGTCATGGTGACCAAACTGGTGTGTTACCTGCAGCTCTGGTAAGTGCTCTTCTCCATGAGGCCGCTGAGATCGTTTAGATAATGAGATGTCATGGTCCTGTTCGTACAGTGGACCAAAAGAGACACTTTGTATAGTTGTGTCATGCTTAAAAACCTTATTGTATTAGACGAAGTGTGTCAAATGCTGTGGGATGTTTTCTTTTGGCTAGCTGGCGATTCACCGTGTTCACACAGGTGTAGAGAACCGCATTGACTAGCAACATCATCCAATAACTAACCACAATACTGACTGTCTTCATCTTAAACACTACATCTGTCATTTGTAGCAAACTTGTGAAGGGCGTCTGTGCATCTCTTTCCTATCGATGACACTTGTTTTGAAATTTTGTTAGATGCTGCAAGGACATTCAGACCAATTTAAATACGACTCAAGTGTCCAGATGCTTAAGTTGTCTAAATGTTACTGAATCCTTCTTTTTCTTCACAGTCGTGCAGTTTTAAACCGCAACTACAACTCGAAGCTTAATTTATTTGATGATGCTAATGGGAATGCGATGTGTGATAATTACAAGATGGTATTTTTTGTAGATAAAGTGTGAAAGACGCACCACTATAGTTTAGGGACCAGTTCTCACTAAGTTGCTTATAGCATGCATATTACTAGCATATTGGCTGCTTATTAGTACTTAGAAAGCACATATTGATGCCTTATTCTGCATGAGAATATTTTAGATATTAATTATTAATAAGCAGGAAATTAAGAGTTCACTGAGGGGGGAAAAAAAATCCTAGTTAATAGTGAATATGTGTTCCCAAATGTAAAGTGTTACCGGCACTTCTTATAAAAAAAAATCAAGAACGGTCTGAAAGCGCAAGAACGTAGCATGTGTTGAGCGGCTCGGGCAGAAGCAGTCAGTGACACCTCTGTTATGAACAGATAACATTTCACTCTATTCTTCAGATGGCCTGTATCCATTTCACCCTGAGAAATGAGAAGCGCTGTGTGGGTGAGCAGAGCAGAGAGAGATGTCTTTGCATGCAAGTTATTAAATATTGCATGCAAGTTTGAGCAGCACTGTCCTGTTTTTCATTTTCATCCGCCTACCTTGTGAATTTAAATGGAGACTTGTATGAGATGTGTTGTATCTGGTAGATGACCTTTCACTCTTCTGTGATGTTGTGTAACTGGTTGTTAGTGTCTGTGTCAGGGAAACACTGGTCCTGCATTGACAGCAGTTTACACAAGCAGGGTTGTTTTTCACTAACAATGCAATCATTATTAAATCAAATGATTGACATTTAATCCATTACAAATATATATTTTAAACTAACTCAGTGTAGTTACCAGAAATGTGTTGTGGCAAACTGATCATGCAACCTTGTCACAACATAATATTGTTCCCTCTATTAAAAGAAATAAGAGTGTTCCATAAAATTGTGACAGACAGGAAGTGAAATCATTTGGAGCGTTTCACCAAATCATCTTATTACATTTTCACTATTCAGTAGTGTTGACTGCATTCATTAAAAGGGACAGTTCACCCAAAAATGATCCTCTTGATCCAAACCTGTGTGAGTTACTTTCTTCTGCTAAACACAAAAGGAGATATTTTGAAGAATGCAGAAAAAATACTATGGAAGTCAATGGCTACCGTCAATTGTTTTGGTTACCAACATTCTTCAAAACATCTTCCTTTGTATTCAGCAGAAAAGAGAAACTCATACAGGTTTGCAACAAGTGGATGGTGCATAAATAATTTCATTTTCATTTTTGGGAGAACCCTTTAACCCAGGGGTGCCCAAACTCGGTCCTGGAGGGCCGGTGTCCTGCAGAGTTTAGCTCCAACCCTAATGAAACACACCTGAACCAGCTAATCAAGCTCTTATAGGCATACTAGAAACTTCCAGTCAGGTGTGTTGAGGCAAGTTGGAGCTAAACTCTGCAGGACACCGGCCCTCCAGGACCGAGTTTGGGCACCCCTGCTTTAACCCTCCTTAGAGACATCTCTAGGGCCAATTTGATCTTTTTCACTTTTTTTATTCTTCATTTTATTGTCTTCCTCAAGAGGGCGCTTACCGGTCTTCAAGCTGAATCTCCCGGATAGGGCAGCATTATATCTCAGACTCAGGATATTTTCTAAAATTACCGAGACAGTGGACTGGAGACTGTAAGGATGTTTCAAAAGTGGGACAGCATGTTTTGACTCATGTGGGACAGTCAAATATACTGTTATTCTACTGATAAAATGTACATTAAGAAAGTTAAATGCCATACATTCAGAAAAGAATCAGCCCCCTTTAAAATAATCACATTTTGTTGCTTTGCAGCCTGAAATGAAGGCAGAAACAGTTTGTTTTATCCAGCTGCTTATTTCTGTCATTACAGTTTGCTTAACACATGCATGTTCCATATTCTTACCATGTGCAGAGTATAGGAGTTTAATAACAGTTTTAAAGACATCCCAAAGTTTAAATCTTTTTAAAGATCATTTATAAAATTGTTTTGCTATCTTTATAAAGTCCAGTTTTACATTTTTGACTTCATTAAATGGTTATTATTGTTGCTGCCAGAAATCTGAAATTGTAATAAATTATTTTAAGTAGTATATGATTTCAGTGTAATATTTAACATTCCACATGTGAACATAGGCTACATGTTTTCTAGACAATCTGATGAAGACAGCAAACACTCTGTAGGCCTACTAATGAATTAACCAGAAAACATTACAAACATGTAACCAGGAGTGTTAAATATGAAGTTTGCTTTGTAAAAATTTAACTATTTCTAACCCAAAACACAGTGTCCCAGATTTGAGCACGAGCTGTCCCACATTAGACAATCCACACATTCTTAAAGCTTTTGACACAAGGAGCACTAATATGTGTGGCATTTCCACTTTAATAACAATATCTGAAAAGTTTCTTCGGATTTAATGAGGGAACATCTTAGAGATGTCATAATGATATAATATTTGTATTGGCTTCATATGGAAATATGATACACAAGTCAAAATTGCAAAAAGTGTCCCACATTACCCGAATCCACCCCATATGTTAAAGGGTTATTACTTGAAAATAATGAAATCAAACAAATCAGGATTGGAGTTATTTACACATGTATTTAAACAGGTCAAAAATGTTTGTTAACGTCGCAAAAATTGCAAACCTCTTTTAAAGCAGATGTTCAATAAAACATAATCCTTGGAAAGTTTCCAGCTCCATTTTGTGTATCCTCTTTTTGGAAAGTCCCTATAGACCTCAGTCAGGGTAATACCATATTTCATTTTTGACAGGGATGAAAACGAGGCTTGGAGGGACTGAAGTACAGTATGTTTAACAGTATTTAACAACATACCTGTAACGGGGCTGATGAGACGTGAGACGTGCGGATCCATGTGCGAGCTTTATTAAAACAGAAGAGGTCAGAAACACAGGCAGGGTCGAACAATGGCAAACAGGTATAATGAGGGCAAGAGAGAGAGGGTGAACACACGCAGATGTGAGTCTGAGCACTAGATGGCAGATCTGAACCTCACCATGCCTCATCAGCTCAAACCTGTCTTTAGTTCTGTTTTAAAACTCTTTTCCACCGCCCCGCTGCATTCTCTGAATTGAATTATATTTTATTTATTTAGTAATTTAGCAGTAAGTAATTTAGCATTTAGTCATTCATATAATTATAATATTATAATTATATTATTATGTATATTAATTACTTTAGGTAGGTTGCCTAGCAACCTTTCTGGAGCGTCGGGTTACGTGACGTTATTAATATTCATGAAGCAAGCCTTTACCACAAGTACGCCATCACACAGCGTCTGCATTTCAGCCAATCAGCAAGACTCTTTAGGTGAGCGTGATTAATATTCATGAGCCGACTCTTTGCATTGGTCGCCTGCCGCCCGGAGGCGGAGCGCTGTGGCTGATTATACACGCTGTTAAGGGAGAGTCAGTGGAGCGGCAGTTCTTCCGAAGTTACGCCGAGACCTCCATAACAATGTTGCGCTCGAGATGAGTCGCCAGCAGGACGAGCAGGGTGTCGTGTTAACCGCTTACACCAGCAACAGCGAGGCCTTGCCAGCGATCAGCTGTAAAGAGCAAACGGAGTTTCTCGGAGCGAGGTGAGGATCGCATTTATTTATTACTAAGAGCAGAGTGCACTATTTATGGCAACTGTATCCTAGGGCTGTGTCTCGAAACCTAGTGAGCTGCCTAGCTAGACCGCAGCACGGGCGTCACGTGTTCGGCTCAGAGGACTGCTGTGTTTGCTCGGCATGGGATTCATCAGATGGACAGCTCTTCTGTTGATCAGTTGAAGTTACTAACTTAACCTAATAATGCTGTGTTCAGGCTGTTCTGGATGTAGTAGTGATGGTTGAATAGTGTTTAGCATGTGGGTGGTCAGATGTAGTTACTAGTTTGTCTTTTGAGGGAGCTTGTACTATTAGAGAGCATGTATATTGTCTGTAAACCAGATCCTGTCGCTGCCACTATGAGCTTTTTTTGTGTTTTAAAGGGATAGTTCACCCAAAAATGAAAATGACCCCATGATTTACTCACCCTCACGCCATCCTAGGTGTATGTGACTTTATTCTTTCAGACAAATCCAATTGGAGTTATATTTAAAAGCGTCTTGGCTCTTCCAAGCTTTATAATGGCAGTGAATGGGTGTTATTTTTCAACAGTCCAAAAGACGTCAAATAAAGTGCATCCATCCATCATAAAAAAAGTGCCTCCGGGGGGTGAATAAAGGCCTCCTGAAGCGAATCAATGCGTTTTTGTAAGAAAACTATATTTAAAACTTTATAAACCGTAATTTCTAGCTTGCGCGTTCGTTCAGGCAGATGAAGTAGGTGTATTGTAAGGTCCGGTGAGAAGTGACGAATGAGGAAGCGCAGAGGAGAGAGCGTAACAAAACACCGGTCACGAATTAGAAGTACGAAGCGAAGATTTGTAAAGAAGAATGTCGGAGGATTTTGATATAAGCCGAGAGGAGACTGGTTTTCCTTTGCTAAAGTAAGCAAAAGCACCGGACCTTACACTCATAGATATGTGTATGCTTGCGCTACGCCTACGTCATCCGCCAGAACGGTGTTCTATTGTGAACGCGCGCACAACAGTTAGCAGAAGCTAAAGATGACTGTTTATACATTTTTTAAAAATTGATATTTTTCTTATAAAAACGCATTGATTCGCTACTTTTTATGATGGATGGATGCGCTTTATTGGACTTCTTTTGGACTATTGAAAAATAACACCCATTCACTGCCATTATAAAGCCTGGAAGAGCCAGGACATTTTTTAATATAACTTTGACTGGATTCGTATGAAAGAAGAAAGTCACATACACCTAGGATGGCTTGAGGGTGAGTAAACTATGGGGTAATTTAAATTTTTGGGTGAACTATCCCTTTAAGTAGCGACACACTGATATACCAGTATTTGGCTTTATTGAGACTATAACTTGCTACATTTAAACCTACTACAACCCTTCAGTTATCAGTCCAGCGGATCTTTAACTATCAGACTAAAACCACCAGATATACATAATATGGTTTGTCAGCGGCTGATGCAGTACAACTGAATTGCAATGTGTGATATTCATGAAATTTGCTTGGTCGAGAACAAAAAGAAGAAAGTTTCAGTTTTCCCTAATCCCTGTTCTAAACAAAGTCTGAAACTTTATATTAAGAGCACTTCCTGTGTTTAATGCCTCTTTATGATGAATCACTTGATGTATTCCTCATTAGTAAGCCACTTTGGATAAAAGTGTCTGCTTGAATGCGTAAATGTAAATAAATAAAAATTCACTTGAAAACAAAACGTATCTGTCATTATGAATTTTGAGCTAACATACTCAGGATTATATGTTAAGTGCTATTAAAGGGATAGTTCACCCAAAAATGAAAATGTGATGTTTATCTGCTTACCCCCGGGGCATCCAAGATGTAGGTGACTTTGTTTCTTCAGTAGAACACAAACGAAGATTTTGAACTCAAACCGTTGCAGGCTGTCAGTCATATAATGGAAGTGGATGGGAATCACGGCTTTGAGAGTCAAAAAAACATACACAAACAAAACCAAATTAAACCCTGCGGCTCGAGACGATACATTGATGTGTAAAGACACGAAACAATCGGTCTGTGCAAGAAACACTGCAATGTCACGTGTGCGTGACGCGTGTACGTGCTCTGGCATAGTAGACATAGATATATATTCCCGCGGCCCATATAAACAGTCACTAATGAGGCATCTATGTATATATATCTATGTCTACTATGCCAGAGCACGTACATGCGTCACGCACCGGATGTTGGACATTGCGGTGTATAAGAGGTAAAAACCGATATAAATACTGTTTAGTTTCTTGCACAGACCGATCGTTTCGTGTCTTTACACATCAATGTATCGTCATGAGCTGCAGGGCTTAATTTGGTTTTGTTTGTGTATGTTTTTTTGACTCTCAAAGGCGTGATTCCCATCCACTTCCATTATATGACTGACAGACTGCAACGGTTTGAGTTAAAAATCTTCGTTTGTGTTCTACTGAAGAAACAAAGTCACCTACATCTTGGATGCCCCGGGTTAAGCAGATAAACATCACATTGTCATTTTTGGGTGAACTATCCCTTTAAGATGCCTGTTTAGTAGCTACAAAACCAAAATATAAAGCTGTGTAAAATTAATCCTGGAGTTTATTAACTTAAATTCTAACTGGTATCTCGAATGTTAGGGTGTACAGTGTTCATTGACTCGAAATCAGCATGAAGTTCGTAATCTAGTACGGGATGTCACTGATGTAGCCATTTGCATCATATTTGAACAGCTTGGATGACAGATGATGTTCTTTATGTACTGGCTTCAGAAACGCCTGTATCAGCCGGTCACTAGATTTAACACAAACTATCTGAACAGACAAAGTGTCTGTGCTGCTGGTGTTGGTCGTGCAGTGCTAGCGGATGCTGGCTGTTATTTGTGTTCTCAGACGGAGCGCAGGTGTCTTCCTCGTTCAGCAGCTGCGAGCAGAAGTCCCTCGTGGATTCTGCCGGCCGGAGTGCTTGAGGACAAGGTTCCTGAGTGTGTGTGTGTGTGTGTGTGTCTTAGTTTAAGTGTTTGTGGGTCTGCTCTGCCAACTGGCCTGCTTGCTCTAGCATCTGTGTTTTGCTGGTTGTTTGCAGACAGAGCGGTCGTTCAGATTTAGCATGACAGAACTACACAAACGCACGTTTAAACAAGACACTTCTATATTTGAAGATTTCTAGATCTAACGCTGGACTTTTTGGGTGAATCCCACAAAGAAGTGTCTATGTCATAGTTCAGCTCAAAATCAAAGGAAAAATTATATTTTGCCTGCCTATTTCTGTGTGGTGACATGCATTATTGCCGTCATGATGATTTCCCCGCCTGACGTTTATTGCTGTAAAGCATCCTCCGTGATATATTTAGCACATTGCTGGGCAGTTGTCAGTGAGTGTCTGTGGGTTACTCAGTGCAGTAACCCAGAAATCCCTTTTATTTTCCTGTGTTACGCTGCAGAAACGGTCGTGAAACGCATGCCTGTGGCACTGCTCTCACAGACACAGCATGTGTCAAACAGGCCCCTAATGATGATGCCGCACGCTACATGAATACGTGTTTTGCATTATGGCAATGAGAATTGTGTACTTAACAGTCTTGTGAAGTAGGCGTCTGCTTGTTTATGCAAAATATGATGATATTTGATGTTTGTATTTTGTTTTTGGGAGTGATATATACCCCAGCTGTAACCGTGAGTGTTTTTGTGAGATTCTCTCTTTACATTAAGGCCACTGGACGAGAACGGCCACACCACACTGCGCTGAAACTCACAGGTATCACCCATCGTTAGCCAGTCTTATGTTCAAGTTGCAGGACAGTAGCCCCCTAAGAATATCACACATTTTTTCTTTCATGTTTTAATTTTGATAGTAAACTGTTCTGTTCTGTTGTGCAGAACATTGTATGCCAGAAAATAGAAAGGATTTGTTAAATTTTCATTTGATTACATTGTGAAAGATGAGTTACATTGTTACTGTTTTAAGCCTTCATTTGATCACCACTGTTAATAAATTTGAATTGCATCATAAACCCAGAAAAATTAAAACAAACAAAACAACACAGAATTTCTGAAAAAATAAAACATTCCATATGACCCTATTATTGCATATATATATATATATAAGTTCAAGTTTTATTCATTTAATTGATTAGACATTTAATTAAACCATTAAACTGAATCCAGTAAAATTAAAAGGGAAAACAGAATTTAGAAAGGAAATTGTGATTTCATAGGGCCTTAGAATTATTATTTAAGAATGAACTTAAAGAATGCACAAAGTGGTGTAGATGAGATTCACTCTAAAAAAAATTAAGCCAGCACAACAAAAAAAATCTTAGTACTAATTTCCCCTAGCTTTTTCTTGTTCACTCAGCTTTTGTCAAAAAACAGTTATACTGACTGAAAAGAAGCGGTCAGTCATACAAAAAATGTTTAGTTGAGTTAACTCAAGATTATTAGTTTTCTAGAGATGTGCAACGATTAACAAGTTGTGCTAACTCAACATTTTTTGTCTGTAGATCTCAAAATACCTGAAGTTGACTGAACAAAAAAATGCTACTGGAAATTGGTACTAAGAAATATGTTGCAACTGAAAACTGCAATAACAGTGTCCAACAATATTAATAAAACATTTATTCAAAAGAGCAATTTTTTTAAGACAATGTTTTCAAACATTTGCCAGTTTAAGGCAATTAAACAGGCGAGTATACCCATAATTACAATACATTTCTCTTAAAGGACAAGTCTAAACTGCCCAAAAATGCATGGCCTAATGGTTAGAGAGTCAGACTTATAACCCAAAGGTCGGAGGTTTGAGTCTCTGTACTGGCAGGGATTGTAGGTGGGGGAGTGAATAACCAGCGCTCCCTTCCAATACCCTTGAGCAAGGCCCCCCCCCCCCCCCACCCCAAAACAAATGGCTGCTTACTGGATTACAAAAAGATTTAAAAGTTACATTTTAGGCTGGTCTGCCTCAGCAGTTTACCAGCAATGTCGTCAATGTCAAAATGATTGAGATGGCCAATCAAAGCAAAATCAAAATCA